AATCTCTTTTAATTTGAAATTGATTGAAATTCTCGCATAATCTCATCTGGCTTAGCATGCCCGATGAGTTCTGAACTGATTGTTTCCAAGGCTCTTCCTTGTAGACTTCGTCTTAGTCTAGCAGTGTTTTCAATGTCATTGAAGTAGCCTCGGGTTGTTTTGTATATGGCACGGAATGAAAGCCACTCGGTATGTGCTCCGCTAAAGCTTGGCAGTATCATTATAGCTTTCGACGCTGCGAAAGTATGCGACGATAGTGGCGCACTCTCTAACTTTGATTTGTCAGCGAGCGCGGCTATAGCGGATGTGAGCTCCGATATAAATGGACGGAGCCCCCTGTCTTCACTTATGACGGGTTCCTGGCTAGGTTCCTTTGGCATGAGATCTTTGGGTATATCTGCTGGATAGGAATCCTGGTACGTGAGCTCTGATACAATCGGTAGGAGCCCCCTGTCTTCATTAACGGTGAGTTCCTGGCTGAGCTTCTGTGGCATCCTTTTGTGCATCTTCTGGATAGAAATCCTGGTTCGTGAGCTCCTTTTGGGGCTCACTGAGGTCGACAACGTCCAGGGTTGGCTTTGTGACGGTTTTATTAAATGGGGCCTTCCCTCCGGTGGTTGAGCCTTGATTTGACTTTTGTTTGGCTACAGAGTTTTCGATCAAAGATCGAAGGTACTCACTTTTGGAGTGACCATCTTCATCATAGTCGTCTGATTTGTCTTCTTCTTCAGCCATCTGTAAGGAGATCTGCGCAAGTTCTAGTTTGATCTTCAATACTTCTTCACGAGCCTTCAAAATTCTTCTATTAGGCCGAACAGTCTTCTTTGACTTCGTACTGCAATCGGTGGGGCCCCTCGGTGGCTCTTCGGTGTGGGTGTCTTCCCGGGCTGGTGGCGATGATGCACGGCTAAAGTCATCGTTGCCTTCTATATGTTTCCTCCGCTTCGTTATGCGGGCCGTAGTGGCCGGCGAGGGCAGGGGTATCCCCCCCTCGGGGGGGTAGCATGGCGCCTCAGCGCCCTCTACCGTTGACGGTGAGCGTGGTGGCATCTGGTGGTGGACGGCGGCGTTATTGGCCGACGAACCACGCCTTGGCTTCCCTTCCTTGCGAACGGGTGATCGGCATCTTGAATCTGAAAAATTCTGCGGTTTTAATACGGTGGTGACTATTTACCCGGTTCCGAAATACAAACGGATATATCCGGCTCGAAGGACCAACGAATGTGCCGGACGGGCGAAACTCTCCGGAGTAAATGTTGTCGAAGATACTTCGCGAGTCGCTCACGTCCTACACCTATAGGTTCTGGTGGGTACTTTCACTGCCGTCTTTGTGAGTGCCGCTGCAATATTGTGGACTGACGTTGAAATCAAAATGCACGATTAATAAATACAAATAGCAAGGTAGTGGCCAGCGGTTGGACTGATTAATTAGTCGCAAAATTTTATAACTATTGACCACGGTTGAACTACGGTTGTTCACTATTGGTTAGTCACTGTATATTTCAAAAGATTTCTTTAAATTGTACGGTAGTATCAAATATCTATTGGTAGTAGCTGGTTTTCTAACACTACTGACTAGCAGCTATTATCAACTAAACTAGCTGATTTTATCACTTGTGTAACTGCGGATATCAGTTACCACTTTCACTATATGTAACTGCGAATATCAGTTACGACCTTTTTAGGCTAACTAACAATTTCACTATATGTAACTGCGAATATCAGTTACGACCTTTTTCGTCTATCTAACACTTTCACTATTCACTATATACTGCTACTAGTCACTTCAGCTACCACCGGATACCACTCACTTCACTTGTCACTGGTTGTTCTTCACACTACTACTCCTACTGGGTCACGAGCCCCTAAGGTAGACTTTAGCAATACTTTACAGTGAGCCGCTTGCCATTTTCCGTTTTGCCTCTTTTTTGCATAAACTTTTCACTATGCAAATGGCATAAATTACAATATTTTCTATACAAAACTAATTGCTACACTAACATGCTATACATCATCAAATCGGTAGTCTGGTACTTTATTAGTATATCATAAAGGTTCCTCAAAACATTACAATTTAAAAAAGTTATTAAACGAAATGTCCCAAATTTTCATAATATTTGGGTACATTAATTCTTTGATTTTTCTATAACTACGAAATGCGTTTAGTTATACAAAATATTCCTACACTTCCTTAATCTATAAGCCATATGCTAATTCAATATCATATTTATAACTCTTGGACATAGAATTATTTTCATTATTTTTGGTATGAACTATTACGCAGTTAATTAAAAAACTTCTAGAGAGTTCTACAATAAGACGCGCTGTGATTGGTCGATTTTTCTTAATATAATAAAAGTTGTTTACATTACTTGTTATCAAAACGACATTCTACACAAATATACTAAGAGTTATAAACATGCTAAACAACTATATTGTTACGCGCTTCAATGAATTTTTTTAAAAATTACATTCCACTAACTTGTACGAGTTTACGATACATTTGCCTTTTGGAATTTACACATATTTGCAAATTTTCTCTTTTTGATATATAATGAAGACGAATTTGTAAATACTTCTCAACTACTAGCCGAATCAAATTAATTTAATGTATAGCACCATTAACGTCGCTTGTGTCAAAGTCGAAATATTGTCTAGAACCCGTCCCAATAATTTTTTTCATTACACCAATAACAATTTTTTTATACATTAAATCTGACTTTATGTGGGACACTTTATCTATATTCTGTATTATGGATTCTGAAACCATGCATATCAAATATACATCTTCAGAGGCATATGATAATCCATCTCCGTCTTTTAATGTCACAAATTTATGAAACCAACTACGATTATTTGCAGTTAAATTATCAATACAATGAATGCATTTCAATTTTTTTGTCAAGAACTGGACAACAAAACCGGCTATATAACCAATAACATGATTTTTAAAATTCGACATATATGGTACATCCAAGAATTTTGTGATCTCGTCAAATTCATCTTTAACCGTTTCTAGTGCAGTCAACAATACTGAATCCTCTTCTTCAAAACGTTCACACATGGTAGTTTTATTTATACATTTAAGCGCTGAGGAGCAATTTAAAACAGCAATATTTTGTAGTGGGATGCAATTTCCTGTATTGCTTGTTTTCAATTCTAAGTGACACAATAGTTTTCTATATATGCCTTTAAATTGTTTAGTATTCGGATTATCATTGAGACCGCCATGCATTCTGATTGCACCAAACAATAATTCAATATGATCCTGAGTCAACTTGTAGGATGAAATGAATTTTAATAAACCCTTATCTAAGATATTAGTTATGTATTTCAGACTTTCAATACACACTAACATTCCTAAAAATCCAGTATTTGCTTGAGTACTTAATACAGGCTTAAAGCTTTTAATAATAATTTTCTTTTGCTGGTTGTGTTCTTTAAAAGAACGTTTTCTGGAGGATTTTATATTTAAGTTTATAATATATTGTTTCGCATGTTCTAAATAATTAAGGATATTTATTATCTTTATTTCCATTATATATGGGATGACTAAATCCATGTTGTTTCAAATCTCTGGCATTGAATATATCAAATAAATTATGCATAATAAAATGAACTTCTCTGTTGCTTCAATCCTTTTGAATTCGGGTAAATATAAATCTTCTCTACAGAATTTCAGAGCGATTGCAACGCTTCTGCTTAACAATTGGGAAGCAAACTTTACTTTTATTACATTATTACGAAACTCTAAATGACGTTTCGTTATTTTATTAGCTAAATGAAGGCCTTCTTTATCTTGCAACTCGTTTAGTTTTTTTAGAAAACTCCAATCAATTTCATTTTCTTCTTCACCTAGAAAAGTCTTTTTACTTTCGAAATGATTTCTGATCAATTTAAACATATGAACAGGATTAAGGAAAACAGCCACTTCGTCATTTGAAAAAAATGTTTTAACGTAGTCTTCAAATTATTGGAATCCTTTATTCGACAACCTAATATTTCCATCGCGGAGATATTCGAAGGATGTCCATCGAACGTAATTGATACGACACGTACACTTACTTCATGGCATTTACTTAAACATAGCGATATTAAGTTCGCTTTTTGGGATCCTGTTAGGCCATGCACTAAAAAGTACCCTACAGCAGTTTCCAGTGCTCAGTTAAGCAAACCAATAGGAACACATATGCCTCTGATGCTAATACAGAAGTGTTATTTACACCAGTACCCATATCAACATAACCGTGATTTTGATTGCGGTCCCACATACTTTATTGGCGTAAAGCCATTTCATCAGCTATCAGCACGCAAATAACATTGCCTTTATCAGCTTTTAGTTTTAATAACATGAACGCTTCTTCAGTAAAACCTGGAACACCATCGATGTTGCGATACCATTTGCCTAATGTTTTGGCATGTGGCAAACATGTGCCAAATTTACTTCTCACGTAATTATATGCAGATGGAGAGTAAAAGTTTAAAGTTAAACAGAATTTCTTGAGTTCGTTAGTATATTTCGGCAAGATTTTCTTTTCATTTTTATGCTTCTTATATATGTTATTGAACAAATCTACTGCGACAACATTTTTACTGAGAATATTATATATATCATTATCAATGAACCGTTCTTACTTTAAAGATTTCATGATACTTTTTAAATTACAGTTAGCTTTTTTTAATCGACGAGTCTTTTCACGCAAGGTTTTAATTATTCTCCCATGTTTTGACTGTAAAATAGTTTTCTTGTGAAGCTCTTTTTTAAGCTTTATATTTCTCGGTGTATCAAAAATATAATCAATGTCGGGAAAGTTATCTAGTGGCGGAGTTTCATTACCAGTAGTTAGAATGATTCCTTCGACATCTGAAACTGATGTGCTAGGTTCTACACTTAGCACACTGCTGTTAGAATTGACAACCGGAGCTGATGTGCTTGGTTCTGCAGTTACTGCACTGTTGTTAGAATTGACAACTGGAGCAGTGCTTGGTTCTGCAGTCACCGTACTTTTGTGAGAAATGTTGTCCGGTAGTGTCGAAGATAAAAACAATGCGTTCTGTGGTACAGCTCCCTTACACAATCTTTTTAAACCACCTTTTGTAAAGTACAAGTCGCTCTCATTGAAATGATTGGAACATATAACACTGCGTTCTCTTGGGTTCCACCAACTTTCTTCTCGACTAAGTCGTACTTTAGCAGTCCAACGGTCACAAATGACAGGATCAGCAGGAAATCTGTACCAAGCAAACATAATACGATGATAATAATGACTGCATTCGTGGATCTTTGACAGTCGTTACGGGTCGTCAGAAGCCCGAAAGTCTGACAACCAGTCTTACCAAAGGGGTATCGTATTACCCAGTAACTGGGTTGTGGAGGTCAGATAGGCAGTCGCTCCATGTAAAATACTGGTATTCAGCTGCATCCGGTTAGATTGGAAGCCGACCCCAACATGGTTGGGAAAAGGCTAGGCAGATGATGGTGATGAATAATGACTGCATTACACATATACTTAATCATTATAAAAGCAATTCTGTCTGTAACGTTTTCACAACTCAACCACTGAACTGAATTTGGTAACATTTTGTAGGGAAACACACGCTTGACCAAATTATTTAATTTATAAATCTTCCCCGGCGTGCGCACAACAACTCACCCAAATTTCATCTCAAAGGTTAGTTTTGTGAACTAGGTCAGATTACAAAAAAAAAACTACCACGTGCTGAACCTAATAATACCCACGCGCTTTAATTTTTTACAGTAACCAGAGTATCCCACCCAAACCCAGGTAGTGGTAGTAGTTATTTAACGACAGACTTTTTATCTGAGGATTGAACAACCGGCCCTAAATAATTTATAGAACTAGGTTAACTATACAATAACTGGGTTAGATAAATGAAATATGTTATTTATTAAAATACAAAAACAATAAATTCACATACGAAAATCTCAACCACGGGGAACTTGACTCTTGTATACGCGGCAACACTGAATGGCGTTTAGGGTTCATGTTATTTTATGTTGAAATTTCGAAATTATACGATACTTACTGATGATATGTGATCCCAGTGTCTTTCTTATTTCTTGTAGTATTATTTTTACACAGTTTCACTACGCATACTGGCATTTTACTTCGGATTATGCCCAAAATTTAATAAAACATTCAACACGTGCACGTCACAGACAGCTTGGAGTGCGACTGGCTCGGGTACGCCGACTTCGGCGTAGTATTTGTTGCCGCATATGTCAAGTACGGCGGCGGTATCTAGTCGAGCGCAGCGAGACCAATCATTCATCTATGATTAAGATGATCTTTTTTAAGGGCAGGAATGCATTCTACATGGCAGTCCGTGTATACAATCGTCTGCCAGACACAATAAAGAATGAAACAAGTCAAACGTTTAAACGAAAGTTGATAGAATGGCTTCTCAGCAAGTGTTTCTATAGTCTTTCTGAATATTTCAACAACTAATTTTGTTTGTAAAATTATTATTTAATTAAGATAATTATAATAGTAAATATATGTGACATATATAGCAATTTGACGATGACATGTATTATTACTGATTTTCTCTTTGACATATTTATGACAATTTGTCATTGAGTTACAATACCTATAGAGTCACAATCTCTAACTGACAATACTCAAAAAATGTCCGAGCGCCGTTCCATATACCTATATATTTTGATATTATATAGTTCAAAATGACATTTGCTCGAATTTAGACGTTAACCTGCTTGTATAATGTTCAAAGTCGCTCGTATGCAATGTCATCATCATTCACTCAAGGGCTTGCGTACGAGCAGGGAACAAGGCATCAGTGGAGACGCTATTTATACTAATATTATTAGGAGTTTATAATAATTGTGAAATATGAGTTTGTGAGTTTATATGTACCTAGGAGAACTAAACAACTGATTTCAAAAATTATTACACCAATTTCTTTTTAATTTACTTATCATATTAAAAAATCTTACAACACATTTTATAAGATTTTTTATATGATAAGTAAATGAAAAAAAAATTGGTGTAATAATTAATAGTATTAATAGCACTAGTAAACCACTAAGGTTTGTGAATTAGGTACTAAAATGCTAAGTATTAAAATGTACGTTTTAGTGTGTATGTTTGTATTTTGTTCGTGCTCTAACAGATCGACGGATTCGGATGAAAATGTAAATAGCTTATACCCTAAATTATCACTTATGCTACCTACTTTTTATACCGGGAAACACGGGATCACGCGGGTCGCTGATAATTTAAAATAAAACAAAATTAATATTAGGTATAAGCGTTATATTACTTACTTACTTTTAATAACTTACAACTAAAACTTAACCTAACCTAATTACCTTGAAACAATGTTAATTTATTGTAACGTTGCCTTTTACTTTGATTTTTAATTTTTTCAGTACATTTCTTTGCAATGTAATGAATTCTAATGTTTATGTACCGATCAATGACTGCCCTCATTAAAATGGTTCTATGGTTTGTAAATTCAAATGCATGTTCAATTAGATCTTCCATAACTATTGCACCTACGAATGATTTCAGAACTGCAGAAATAATTTTTTGTGGGTTCAACTTAAGTCCACAACGTTGACAATGTCTTATAGTGTGCTCGGTTTTTTTGCATAAATTAAACACACCTTTGGACGAATAAAATAATCCTCCCATGTTTTTGATATCAATCAAGTTGTGGAATGTCATTTTTTCTTTAGCCATCAAAGAGTTGCAACAAACTTCGCACTTAACCTTTTTTAAAATGTGGCGTACAACGTTCCCAGAAATATACCCCACAATTTGATCAATGTATTCGGACTCAGATTCAGATTCGTCAAGCTGTTGCGACAATATGTCACAATTACTATACGTTTCAGACTCATGGATTGAAATAATTTGAGTATCGTCATTTTCGTTTTCAATTTCATGACGATAGCCAATTGTTGTATTATTTAAATTGTGAAGAGTGTTGTCGCCACTCAATATGGGAATATTTTCAAGTGGTATAGCATTTCCGGAAAATTTAGAACTCAGTTCCAGATGGGTTAACATTTTTTTGTAAGCGGATTTTACATGGCGAGAATTGGGGTTGTTGTTATAGCCTCCTTGGCTTCTCAGATCACCAAAAAACAATTCAATATGGTCTTGGCTAGTTTTATATGTCAAAAGAAACGACAAAACTGATGTCTTAACCAGTGTTGTAAATAAGTGTTTTAAGCTTTCAAGGCATATAACCAAGCCCAGAGCTCCAGTCCCTGATTGGGATTTCCACAACGGTACGTTTTCTGTGGTATGCACAGTTCTTGTTTCGTTGTTTTTTTTAATGGTTCGTTTTCGCAAAATGTCAATATTTAGAGATAACAGATATTCTTTGGCATGATCTATAAATGAAAGAATTTCATCAGCGTTTGTTAAGCTCAAAGGCTTTTTGTAACCATAATTTTGTAGGTTTCGTGTGTTCAGAATGTCAAAAATGTTGTTGATGGTCATAATGAAGTCTGACGTCGGATGAGATCCATCGAATGTTGCTATAGCTAAGTCATTTTTACAAAATTGTATAGATTTAGCTACACTGCGGCTTAGAAGTTGTGTAGCTAATTTAACCTTCATGATCTCGTTCTTGAAGGCTATATGTCTGTGCGTCAATTTATTTGATAAGTGCAGCTGTTTTTCCTCCTGCAATTTGTGAAGCTCGGTGACGTACTTCCATTTGATGGCTTCGTGTTCCCCATTTTTTATAATTTTTTTAGATTCAAACACGTTCCTCATGAGTTTGACCATATGACATGCATCTAGGAATACCGCTACATTGTGATCGGCGGAAGGGTGTTTAAAAAAAGGTTTTCATGGATTCCTTATTATTTAAGTTGCAGCCTAAAATTTTCATTGTTGCAATATTTGTCTTACAACCATCGAAAGTCAATGAAACTACTTTCATTTTAACTTGATGACATTTTCGCAGTGCAATGTTTATTAAGTTAGCCTTCATTTCTGCTGTTAAGCTTGTTATAAAAAAATAGCCCAATGGAATTTTGAATGAATCGTTAATAGCTACCAACATTATGACGTATACTTGACTAGCTATAACTTCAGATTCTTCAGATCGAGTCGAAGTCGAGTCTCTGCTGGACAGAGTCTCGGATTGGGGGCGACTAAATCTAGTCCAGTTTAACCCCCAGAAGACACAAGTTTGCGCGTTAACCGCTAAAAAGAACCCCTTTGTCGTATCCCCTCAGTTTCAAGGCACTCCCCTTGTTGCCTCAGCCAGTATCGGAATCCTCGGCGTCGACATATCGAGTGACGTGCAGTTTCGTGGTCACTTGGAAGGGAAGGCCAAATTGGCCTCTAAAAAGCTTGGCGTGCTCAGCAGAGCGGGACAGTATTTCATGCCGGCACACCGCCTGCAACTTTACAAGGCGCAGGTTCGGCCGCTCATGGAATACTGTTCCCATCTCTGGGCTGGGGCTCCCCAGTACCAGCTCCTTCCACTTGACCGCATCCAGCGCAGAGCGGCTCGAATCGTCGACGACCGAGTGCTTTCCGATCGGCTCGATTCACTGGCGCTGCGAAGAGATGTTGCATCTCTTTGCGTATTTTATCGCATCTATCACGGGGAGTGCTCTGAGGAATTGTTCGGATTAATCCCAGCCGCCAAATTTCGTGAACGCACTACACGGCAAACGTCCCGATACCATCCACACCATCTGGATGCTTGGCGGTCCACCACTGTACGTTTCAAAAGGAGTTTTCTTCCGCGTACAACCTCTCTGTGGAATAATTTACCACCGGTGATTTTTCCGGACCGATACGACCTGGGGACCTTCAAGAAAAGAGCTTACTCCTTTCTAAAGGGCCGGCAACGCACCTGCAATTCCCTTGGTGTTGCGGTTGATCATGGGCGGCGGTAGTCACTTAACATCAGGTGAGCCACATGCTCGTTTGCCCCCTCTTCTATAAAAAAAAAAAAAAAAAGATCCTGTACCCATATCCACTAGTCCTTCGTATCGTTTCCCCGTCCATATTTTCTGTTGCCTTATTGACATCTCATCTGCTACTAGGGCGCAAATATACTCTTTGTCTGAATTGTTGGATTTTTCCTTCAATCTATCAAATGATTCCACTGTAAAACCTGGTTCTGCGTTAACACTCTTATACCAGTTACATAGCGTGTTTGGATGAGGCAAACATGTGTTATAGAGACGCCTTACATACTTATAGGCTGCCGGCGAGTAAAAGTGGAACGTAAGTGCGAATTTCCTAACAGCAGGCGGATATTTTTTGAATGGCCTCTTCTTTTTCTTTACATTTTTTATGTATAAGGCATTGAACATTTCGGTAACTTCTAAATTTTGAGATAATTCAGAAAACAACGACTGGTCAATGCCTTTCCTACTTTTTAATACTTTCAAGGCATTTTTTAAAGTTGTGTTCTTTTTAATAAGTCTTTTATTTTGTTTTTGTAGTCTATTGATCTGTCTGTTTTTGTTTAAAATCATTTTTTTCGCATAAATTCAGCTTTCTCTTTATAACAGTTTTTCTGGGAGTGTCTAAAATAGACCCAATACTTATAGACGTAGAAGGGCTCTGTTCGATTTTTCTTGAATTTTCCTCCTGAAGCAAATAAAAAAATGATAATAACGAAATATTTTTTAAAATCATACAATTTTATGACGTAAATTCACTACCTGCAAGCATACAACGTTAGTTTGTTGGCATATTTCTTCATCGTTCCCAAATTCATTATCAATCTGGAATAAATAAATAGGAATTAATTTTGCCTTTATATTTTATTATACGTACTTTATTTACGGCAATTATTTATTTTTAACTTACATCAAAAGACAATTCAATGCTATCTTCATTTTGTTTAATTGTTTGCTGATTGTTGTCGTGATCTAAGTTTACGTGAGTGTTGTCTTGATCTGAACTATCGTAACTTCTAAGTTGTTTTTTATTCAGCTGTAATAGAAATCATAGATCATACATTTATCTGCAAGACGTAAAATAAGCAATTTTTGAATAATGCACGCATTTTAAGAATACAAAATCGAAAGTTATAATAAAATATTACATTGTAAGCATTAAAAAGGAATAAGTTCTTACATGTAAAATGGGTTTTGCATTTTTGTTAAGCCTACTGAAACCTTTCGTTGTTGTATAAATGTCTGAAGCAGGAAAGTGATTAGAGCATACAACCGACCCTTTATATGGCTTGTAGTTTAATTCATTTCGGGCTTTTGCTATAATAACTGTCCATTCAGAGCATCTTATGGGGTTTCGAGGAAAACTAAAAACAAAAAAAAAACATATTGTAATTATACTTTAAAATAATAAAACTCTTTCGACCTACATTTTGTACGGAAAACTAAAAAATAAAACATTTAACAACATTGTAATATTAGTACATTAAGTTTAAAATCTGTAAAAATATTTATTGTATCAATCCACTCCATAGAACCGTTAGAACATAATTTGCGAGTCACTCTCGTACGCGTGACTATTTGTTTCTCTTTTACTCTTGCATATTTGTCTAACGTGTGAAAGAGAAACGTTATCTAGGCGCCGCGCGGTCAGCGGTGAGTGTTTTAGTATGCTAATCAAATGAAAATTATTGAAATTTAAATGAAAACATGCACTGTGGATACATAAATACGTAAATTTGGTATGATACTTACCTAAAATATGAAACACCATCCTTTTTTTCGCACGTGTCTGCTGTTATTTGGGCAGGAAATCACCGAACACTTTGGCATCGCGGACGTTGTACGAGGATTGTGGTCGCCTTACAACTAAACAAAAACTCTGCGCACTTCGCAGCGTGCGCCGAGTTTTGGCGCGGACATTTTATTTGTCTGTTTGTGACTCTATAGGTATTGTAACTCAATGCAATTTGTATAACATTTATCCATAATTAATATTTTATAGTTTTGTATTAAAATTTTATGTCGAAATTAAATTAAGACGATTTAATATTTGTACGCCTATAAAAGAGGCAGAATAAGTGAACTTCTGTATTAGATTTAAGACCATTATGTATTACCTTATTCTGACAAATAAATAAATAAATAAAATAAATAAAATTTATTTTCTCCATTCATACTATCTGCTATTTTTGCATAAATTCCTGCTACCACGGTATGGCTCAAAACTTGTGCAGCAAGTTTTACTCGCATCTTCTGCTTTGGGTTAAGATTAAGATCATAGATGAATGATTGGTCTCGCTGCGCTCGACTAGATACCGCGCTATCTAAGAACAATAGCTCCGTGAATGCGACAACTCATTATTGTAGTGTGCGTAAGACATCGTCACTTGACTATTGTCAGTTGTGTTACCAGCTGCTCAACTGTTACCCGAGTTAATGGGAAAAATATTTTATGCTGTGGTCTATTAGTTAAGTCTCAGAAAATACTTAATAATGAATAATGAATTAAAATCGAATAATATATAATATAAATATATTTGCGTATAGGTTAGGAGTAGGTTTCTTCTTTAGAAAAGAAAAACAGATTAATAAAAGAATAAAATTTATTAAGTAGGTATTAATTATTTAAAATTACATTCCACTAACTTGTACAAGTTTACGATACATTTGCCTTTTGGAATTTACACATATTTGCAAATTTTCTCTTTTTTGATATATAATGAAGACGAATTTGTAAATACTTCTCAACTACTAGCCCAATCAAATTAATTTGATGTATAGCACCATTAACGTGGCTTGTGTCAAAGTCGAAATATTGTCTAGAACCCGTCCCAATAATTTTTTTTCATTACATCAATAACAATTTTTTTATACATTAAATCTGACTTTATGTGGGACACTATCTATATTCTGTATTATGGATTCTGAAACCATGCATATCAAATATCATCTATCATATATATAAATGCATATCAATATCCCTGCTAAATACACATCCCAAATACACAAACTCATCCACTTGCTCAATTAACTCTCCTTCTATTCTTATTTCACATACCGTTTTGCTTTCTTCTCTTTCAAAAACCATCACTTTCGTTTTACTTGTGTTCACTTTCATTCCCCTTTCTCCTTTCTCTTCATAAAAGATCATTATGTTATATCTTAAATATAAAACACAGGCGCAAGCCAGCAGAGGTTCGGTTCATAAACATAATGGAAATATAACATTACATACCTTTTCAACTTCGAACTAGCAATAAGATTATGCGCAGCTCAGTTATTTTAGAGTAATTAATTGTATTATAAAGTAAAAGTCTTACATAAACTGATTTTAGATAAACAATCAAAACAAAGATTTAATTTCGTTGCCGCCGAACAGCAGATGAGGACGCAAGAAGAGTGATAGTGAGTGAAAGTAAATATAATAAACCTATAGAATCCACAGACTACATACATTGAGAGTGAATAGCCGATCAAATCGATCGGATAGATTAGGTAATTAAGCTGGTCCTTTACAGATGTAACTATCCTCATGAACCATATCCCATATATGCCCAGGAGGCTGTTAACGACCCATTCTACTTACTTCGATAAAAATGCTTTGCGAAAGAAAACGGTAATAAATTATTTGTGTCTAGTGCCATCTTCTGCTTATCTAAAGTACTACTTCATACATACGCGTCATCCGTACTCCAACAAGAGTGTCAAATTTGACAGATGGAAAGTTAAAATTCAGTTGAGTTTTTTTCGCAATAAAATTGTTCATTCGCACTAGCAAAAATGTAAGTATTTTTTATATAAACTTTGTTTTACATAACTTATATATGTATATGTAACTTTAGAATACTTCTAGACTTTTTTGATAAAATATTATGATAATCATATTTATTTAACAAGTTAATGTAGAAAATATGTTAGTGGGTCGCTATCGACCCCATGGGCATATAAATTACTTAAATTTGGCGTTTTGCAGGTCTCGTCGATTGCTTTCCACTACTAAAATAGCTGATGCCCTCGAAGCTTTGGAGGAGGTGGAAGACATTCAAGGTATAGACGATAGATATGTTTATATAGATCCACCATGTAACGGTGAAATTTCTGATGGTGACTCGGGGGAAGAAGACTGTTGCGATTTTGATAGATTGATAGATTTCGGCACCAGCTTCTCGCGCCTGCTGAGCTAGTAATTCACATGTCGAAAGATGAACAGCATGTTGAAATCGAGGCTATTGAACCTGAAATCTCTTATCATACTCCTGCTAAAACTCGACGTATGCCTAAAAATGATATTGTACGAATACAATTTTTTCTATATTTTATAGTCTCTACGCCCTGAGAGTGTGGTTTACACACTATATTGTTTTTGATAACATCCCAAGTTGCTTTGCATTTATTAGAATTGTTGCCTATATATTTATTATTTACATTTTTTCTGGCAGTGTGGATACATGTTTTCAATATGCGACTATAAGCATTGTATTTTTGTTTATTTAGATTTTTATTAGCATTGCCATGAATATATTTTAAATACAGATTTCTTTTTGTGATTGTTGCCTTTTTTATCCCTTTAGTAATCCACCGCGCTCTCATATTTGTGTTTACTATTTTTATTCTAATGTTTGGAAAGCACAAGTTATAAAAAACTAAAAATAGATCATGAAAGTGGTCAAAAGCTACGTCAATATCTTCTATTGTATATATGTCAGACCAGGATAATGCCCTCATGCAATTATTAAACTTAATTATATTACTTTGACAATAATCTTTTCTATATTCAAACCAGTATGTAGTTATATGTTTTTCAGACATATTTACACTGAGGGTCTGCGCTGTTTCATTATCTGACAAACCCAGAAAATGAATGCTCGAATCAGCTTGTGTTATGTTGCTAGCAATATGATCAATACACGCTTTATTTCTAGTAGGTATTCTTATGTGAAAGTCAATATTATGATTATTTAATATACTTGTTAATTAAACTGTTGGTTTAGTCTGTTTTAATATATCTATATTTCAATCACCCGTTAATACTAATTTAGTACTCCCTTTTTTTATTAGTCAGTTTTTGTAATAATATATTAAGTTTTTCAAAAAATGCTGGCAATGTTTCAGGTTTAGGTATTCTATATATGCAAATAATAATCATATTTAATTGACTTAATTTAATTCCACAACATTCAAAACAATACTCACAGCCTAATTCGTTTGTTATCACAATTGATTTAAATTTAATCCCTTTCTTAACAAAAATACAACTACCACCTCTTTTTTCATTAGAACGTGAAAAGCTTGCGGCTAGTTTAAAGTTATTAATGGAAATAATGTTCCTTTTTTAATAAAAGTTTCACTTAAACATATTATGTCTACATCTATTTTTGTTGTTTTTAATTGATCCAATACTATTTCCAAAGAATCAATTTTGCTGAAAAGTCCTGCAATGTTCTGATGTAATATATTCAATTTAGATTTGTTCACGAAAAAAATTATTTGTTGACTGTACACTTTTATTCTGTGGCTTAAAATAATAGGGTATCGTACCTTTTAAAGGTTGTTTCTTACTAGCTGTGGCAAGGTCAATGTGAATATGTGTTTCTTGTTTTTTTAATTGTTATTTAAATAAATATGGAATTGTACCTTTTTTGAATTCGTATGGCAGATTTGTGTAAGATTTTTTAAAGACTTTATTTGTTTTAAAGTAATTTATACTATTTGAATTAAGTTTATGTTTACTAACTATACATTTTTTATCGTAATCTTCGGAGTCAATGTGAAAGTTTATTATTTTTTCTCTATTAATATTACCATGAAGTCTTAAAAATTTACAATTTTGATATAACCGAGTAACACAGTACATATGATTATTCAGAGATTTTTCTTTTAGATAATTATTTTTTAAAGTCTCTAAAACGAATACTCGCACAAATTTTAATTTCTCTAAAGCTACGCTTACCTCACTAGACAGTTTAAATGGGTTTGTTTCATTCTGTCCCATTATAATTATAACTCTGTCGTTGCTACTCAACCCATTTTTTAAGATGTTACAATATGCTAAAATATCTGAAGACGTCGCGTTAGGCTTAATTATAGATAACACATCATAGTTATCGCTTCACGTGTTTATCCGTGAATCTCTAATTTCTAGCGATAGTCTTCGTGCCTGTTCATCGCCAAGGATATATATTTTATTTTTTTCACTATTTGTTAATTTTTTGCTTATGTTGCGTTGTACGGTGATTGGTGATATTTTTTTTATATCTTCGTTACAAATCTTTTGTTCATTGTTTCCGATTTTTGATGTATCTTGTTTAATGTCCTTAACATTTAAAGTCTCATTTTTCAACTTCTCTTGTAAGCATTTCGTAGCACTCTGATTCTTAAATTCGGAAACGGGCGTGGTGGGCGATTCAGTAACAACATCATAATCCGGCTTCTTTTTTATTTAAAATAATATTTGAACGTTTTTTTGGGAGTGCCCTTCTTGGGTGTATTTACATTCAAAAGTTTGACATAAACACCCTTTTGTTTTTTATTGTCCGCGATAATTTTTTTTAAATTTGTTGTTTCAATGTTAAGTTCGGCAATTTCTGCGTGTGCACTTTCCAGTTGTATCTTTATTTAAAGACCATAACTGAAATGAAATGCGAAATAGAATATTTATTCTATTTCGCATTTCATTTCAGTTATGGTTGAGTTATCCATAAATGACATGTTGGGTAGGCTATGAAGAGTTTCGTTAGGGATAGAACTGTTAATGTCATCAATATCTTCTACTGTACAGTTGTCCGTTGATCGATTATTACAAAAGTTTTGTTTTCTTACTGTTATATTTTGTTCAATTATTTATGTTTTATCATATTTTACCAAATTCAAAGAGACCGGTGAATCGTCTACTAGCTTATTCTTATTATTTACTAGCTTATTCTTATTATTTAAGCATGATTTACATTTCCATGAGCTTTTGCTACTTTTGCTCATTAGATAAAACCTTTTTGCTGACACGTTCACACTTTTTTTCTTACATAAAGTGCATATTAGATATTCATTATTTTCTATAATAACATTACATTTGGCACATAAAGCATTTTTTTCGACGAGGATGCCATATTTATGTCATATATTTTACTCTTTTATATATGTATTCTTGTATTAATTAAAATTATATGATATATGTTGAGGATTAGAACTCTGGTACAGAGCGTTCCAAGTAGGTTCTCAAAACCAATACACCACGATAGTAATGCAGATGCAATTAAATTTTGTAGTCTTATTCACGATTGATGTTTGACTCACGAGCGATCTGTTCCAAAGTTCATTGTATCGTTTCATAAATGAGCCGCTTAGTAAACAAGAAAGTTTCCGTTACGATTCTTGAATTTAAAAATAATCTCTCTTCCACTAAACACTGTTAATCACTGTTAATTTTTTATCACGTAGGACCTTATTAAGAAAGTTTTTGCGTTTAATATTTTTAATACCTATTTATACAACGAAGATCTAGTCTTACACTATTTACTACAAAATCCACCATAATATCTAATTGTATGGAGTCACAAACAATGTCACATAATCCACAGGTCACTATATACACTTTTTTCACAAAAGTTTTTCTTTTTCTGCACTTTTACTATTTTATTCGAATAATATATGCGGAGACGGTGTGTACGCTGCTGTTCTTGTGGCTATCTCTATTATTCCTTTATAATAGATAAGGGTGGAAGACTTTGTTCATCCATGCCTTGATAGATTGTAATTAATGAAAATATTAACGAATTTATTATAACGGATGTAAGGAGGTCTTAATATGATTGCCTGAACAAAATGCCTCCCTTCCTTCAAAAGGCCTCCAACAAGGAATACCGCAAAGAACGGTCCTGAGCCACCTACATCCATCGACTTCTTTCATGTCCTTACCAGGTCATCACTCCATCTAGTGCCATCCTCCCTACATTGTTATATTTTATATTAACTAGATAAATAAATTAAAAATAAATAAACCAAACAATATTTCAAAAACCGACAACCGTTGGGGAAAAGAGTTCTTGAGTGGCAGCCTCGTACCGGTAGACGAAGTGTAGGGCGACCCCCCACCACTAGATGGAGTGACGACCTTGTAAGACATGCAGGAAGACGATAGATGGAGGTGGCTCAGGACTGTGCTTTGTGGCATTACTTGGGGGGGAGGCCTATGTTCAGCAGTGGACTTGTGAAGGGCTGTAATGATGATGATGATGATTAACATGTAATTACGTCTATCACGTCACACTTATGACCGGGACATAGTTACGGTATGGTCGAATTGTAACTGCTATGTATTTAATGTGCATAACAGTTCGTTGTTTTATTGCTGATAACGATTAATTGAGAGTAATTCGAACGACTGCTCTCACACTTGTATTTTAATTTTAAGAAATACGTCTTAATTTATTTCTGACATATATATTTCTTTAATTTTTTCCTCTATTAGAATCCTTTGGATTAAGGTGATAAATTACTCTTATGGCTCTTTACTAGTAAAAAAGTTTCAATGTTACCCTACATCAAGATTCCATACGACATTAAGCTATGGAAATAACTAAAGTACCTAGATAATGTAACAGTTTCAACACAAGTAAGGCTTCTAATCATGTTACAGCATATGCTGCAGAACTAAGTATGCTTGTTGGTTCCTAGATTTTCAGGAAAACAGTGATATCAAGAAGACTTGACTCTTCTCATTCAAAATCCCATTGGTAATTAGATTTTTAACAATCGCAGGTAATAAATATTGGTAATCAATGTTTGCCGAAAATATACACGCACAATCCCTAACGGGGTAGCCAGAGAGAACAGATCGCCAAGTGTCACGATCCTCACACATCTCTTTCGCTTCTTTCAGGTTCGTTATCTTCTTCATACATGCACGTCTAGGTATCCGAGTACTCTACCTTCCCCTCTTCGAGTAATTTGCTCACATGGTCTTCGAAAGTTATCTCGGTCTACCTCGACACCTTTTAATATTTACTTTCGCGCTGTATATTTTCTTCACTATTCGGTCTTCACTCATTCGCTCAACGTGCCCAAACCATCGGGGTACGCCCCTATCAATTTTTGTGATAAGGTCATCTTTCAATATTGCCATATTGCGAATCTCTTCGTTTCACTTTCGGTGGGCTATGGTAACGCCGCACATTTTACGAAGAGATCG